CGGCCCCGGCTGGACCCGCGCCCCCAGCCGCCTGCCCGCTGCCCAGCTGCCGCGCCTGGAGCCACTGGGAGGGAGGAAGGAGGCAGAAATTCCCTCGTGCTGGAAAACCTGAGTGCTAGCGGATTAAGCCATGCTAAGTGTTACTCGCGGTACACGTCCATGAGAGCAATCTAAGTTCAGAGGTGGTAAACGAACATGGGATCAGTTCTGCTTGGCTGGTGAGCTGCCCAGACTAGAAGTGGTTAAACTGCACTTGCCTGAACCGACCCCGTCTGCCACGGTGGAGTGGAGATGGCAGGATGGGAGATGCAACTTGGAAACTTTGGTGCAGGGGTGTTGGCAGAAAACCTAGTTTTGGCTGTTAGGTAGTGCTGCTATCTGAATGTGCACACCTGCACACTTCGCTGCAGACCCTTCCCATGTTGTTTGGAGTCTCAACATTTAGCTTATAAGGAGCTTGGAGCTCACCGAGCGCTTTGGGATGAAGGGTGGCTTGTAAAGTGTTATTATTATGCTGTTGCTGATGGGTGGGTGGAGAAAGCCTGCAGAATACATCCTTTCATTTGCATTCATCCTATGCTAATATTTTGCAAGAGTACATTTGACTTTTAAGCTTTTCCATAGTAGTAAATTCAACTCCTGCTGTCAGGACTGTTTGCTTTGGGCAGGATACCATTAGCAGCATTTATTTTCTTTTCTACCAAACAAAAAAATCTGTATCTTACTAGCACAAGAAAAGTGATGTTATTCATTCGGACTGCAGATTGCCTTGCCCACAAAACACAGTTGGACTCTGCCTCTCAGGAGAAGCCTTCAATAACAACACATGTGGCAAGAAAACCCACACAGAGCATTTGTATGTGCCATGGCACAGTGTGATAAATAGGAGAATTTGTCTGTAACTGAAGACTGGAATTTGCTGTACCTTTTATGTCTGTCTTTTACTGTGTCCTGAGTCAGCATCATTGCATTAAGGAAATAGTGTGCAACACCAACATATATTCAGGAATTACATCTATTTACAGCTCCATTTGTTGCAGATGACTAGCAGCGTAATGTATATTACTCTGGGAAAACAAAAATCTTATATAATACCTTTTTTTTTTCCCCTACAGAGATGCAGGAGTTTGGCTGCTGGTGAAGAGATGGTATGAAAAACTGCATCTGGTTTTTCAAGGCCAGGTTTCAAAAAACAAGCGGTTGGAGAATTTTACTGGGATCAAGGAAATTTGAACAAGAAAGAAGAGGAGAAGGGTGCACTTTCATGTGAAAACATATCAAGAGCAAACCTAGATGAAGAAGACAGAAAAAAAAAAAAAAAACCAGATAAAGAGAAACTCCCTGATTCAGAGCAGTTCTTCGGCCGAGGTACTGACTGGGCAGCAGACGGAAGGCTCTAAAATGGGAGACAACACTGGAGTAAGGACCAGTGGCTAGGAAGAGGGAAGGACAGAATGGGAGAAATGTCTTCTGATCAAAGAGATGGGAAGAAGAGTCTGAGATGCAGATAAGGGTCAGCTGTGGATGGAAGGGATAAGTACACATATACTTTGACAAATTATCTCTTAAGAGAAAACACAGACCATGCCCACCATCTCTGGGCGTGCCACAAGAGAAGCTCCAGAGCTTTACCTTACCTCTCCAAATCAGTTGCTGGGCACAAGACACGGAGGTTCGTGTTGTACAGAAGTGCAAGGGCGCCTGCCCACTCATTGAAAAGCAGTTCAGCTTAGCTCCGTGGTTGCAAAGGATCTTGAGACACTCAACATTTTCCATTTCACAAGCTATGTGGATTGCAGCTTTTCCATTGGGCCGGCAGTTGATTGTAGCTTTGTGATTGAGGAGGACTGAAAGACTCTCCAGATGTCCATACATCACAGCTAGATGAAGTCCAGTTGCCCAGGATATTTTTAATTTGTAGCTAGGCAGCCAGTACCCTGTACAAAATAAAAAAGTTTAAGCATCCTTGACAAAGACTTTTCTTTGGACTATCCACCTATTGAGAATAATTGAGAGGGGAGGAAGAGTTGGAGTTTTGCTTTAATTTACTGTAATTTCACTAGCTACAGCTTAGTGCACACACAGTTCTCTCAGGCATAACTTCATTTTCATTAAGCACTTTTACTATGTGTGCTGAATAGCCTGCCTTTTGGAGAGAGAATTCCCATGTAGATGTCCTCTGACAACAGCTTTTTTTTTTTTTCGATTGTGACCTATGTAGACTGGAAAAAAAAAAAAAAAGCTTAGAGTATGTGAAATGCCATCAGCCAAAAAATTATGGGGGAAACAGGATCTTCAGCCTGCCAATAGCTGAACAAAGGTGGCATTGGAGTAAGAAGACAATATTTACTTAGGCCAGTGCCTCAAGGTAGTTCATCCTACTGTTTCTGTGTGGGAGATGGCATGATCTTGCATGCTGGGAGATTGATTAAGACCTCCAGTGGTGCATTGCACATAGATGACCCCTGGCAATGCATCTGCAGCTGTATCACAGAACTCCTGCCAACTACTGCCCCTTAGGAGCATGGAGAGGGGAGTTCGGATGCTGATGTAAATTAGGTTGAAGAGAAAATAGAAATAGTGATCTTTTAGCATGAAATTTTGCTCCAAAATATTTTTATTTTTCTCTGAGAATTTCACAATTGTTTTCTTTTTTAACTAAAAACAGGTGCAAGACTAAATAAAAGTTAAATATTTTTCCCCAAAATAGGACTGCATGCTTAATGACTGCACAGACACAATCTCAGAAGTGATTACTGTAATCATTAGTTTAAAAAAAGTAAACCACAATAATAATATGCAGAAGGGCAGGACACATTTAAAACAATTTATTTCATCTTTTTTTTTTTTTTTTTTTTAGATACAGCAGCTGCATCTTAGCTAGAATGGGCCTATAAAGTTCTCTTGGTTTGATTTATCTATTTCTCCTTGGATAAATGCCTTATTGAATACTCTTAGCATGCAAAAGAAAAAAATACTAAAGATGTATAATGAGGTCAAGTTAATTCAGACCTTCATGTTTTAATCTCTAGTTGTATAAAGGTTTTCAACCTTCGTGGCATACAGATACAGGGTTCTTTTTTTTCATGTGTGTTGTATTAGACAGAAAGAAGGTAGAGAGAAGGAAAGAGGTAGATAGAAACAAAGTGTTGGTGTCAGGGAGAAACTTGGATTAAAAATTTTCTTCCCCTCCTAGTTAAATTTCAAGTATATTCCAAGATAGATGCCAGTAATACAGTTCTTGTATGCCTCTGAAAAATGCTAGATTTCCACTGAAAGATATGAGGACAGATATAAAATGGCCTGTTATGGCAGCAGCTGCATGTCCTGCTCTGGCATGGTTGCAGTGACTTGTTTCTCTAAATATAAGCATTTATTACTGTCAGTATGTGAAATGTCAGGGGTGAGAAACTGTCTAAAGACCATGACATCCACTCTAGAACTAAATTTTGGGGATTACCAAACCCAGCGGCAAGGAACCCATGCCACGAATGGCAACAGCAGGCAGCCCTGAGGCAGCCGAGTGCCCAAGTGGAGCAACAGGCTCCGCTGCTGCTGCTGCTGAAACCCCTCTCAACCTGCTGACCATGCAGGTTATGCTGGCAACTCTAAGGCAACCTTTTCATCATATGACCCCAAACCGTGTACAAAATAGGTGAGTTATAGCTCAGAGTCTGTGCATATAGCACAGCAAGCTTCTTAATCCCCTCCCTATCCGAATTCACATGTGGTATTCCCCCTTGTTCCTGGCAAGCAGTGAAGCACTGCTGGCTTACCCCATATGGACCTGGCATCACATTTATGGCCAGATGTGAATCATAAATGATACATAACATGAGGAAAGTGATCCTTAAAAGCCAAGTTATTACTTTATGTACCCACAATTTGCCTGCCTGAGACCACCATCTATTTCCTTTGTGCTGCTGCAGGTGAGCTGGACTCTCATATGGCAAAGCTTAGGCTGTCTGAATGGTGGGATGGTGGGGGTTAATTTTTCTCCCTTCTACCTCCTACCTCCTCAGGGAAATCCCCCTCTCATATCACAGTTATCTGGGATTCAGAATAAAAGTAAATTTTGCACAAGAGTTGAAAGAGAACCTCCTGCCTTTCAGACAAAGTGAATACCCTGCTGTGATTTAGGCCATAGGGTGCATTTACCTCTCTGCTTTTTGGAGAAAGGAGAGACTTCTCCAGAAGAGACAGGTTGATGCTTGCACTTAAATGATCTACAATTAAAAATCTATGCATCAATTCTGTAGTCTCAAAGCACAACCAGAATGTATCTCAGCCTGCTGAGGACAGAAGAAAAGGTATTTTAAGACACATTCATCACTCCGTGGCTTAGCAAGGGAAGTATGTCATGACTGTGTCATCCTCACCCTAATGAAATCAAAACAACAGGAGCTAGTCATTACCTAAGAGATAAACACAGAAAAGGAAAAGAGGTGGGTTGTTGTCCCTTCGTTATGCCAGAGAAAAGAAAGTGCATTTGCTGTGCTGCTGGGACTGGAGATGTTTATCTCCACATTTGAATAACTCCTGGCAGATGCTGATCATTACTGTTTTCTAGATACACACAAAGAGTCTTTTAGAAAGCAGGTCATGAAGTAAGTTGATTTTAGCATGAAGCAAACTTGGTTTATTGCTTTAAGTTGTAAGATTTTTGGAATTCAGCCAGTGTCCAGCTGAAGAACTGGTTTGGTTTTTCTACACTCCAAAACAGATGGCTTTTCTGGTTGTGTTTTTCCAGATGATTTTTCTGTTTTGCTAAACTAGCACATTCTCACTTTCTGTCAGTTTGAAAAATAAACCTCTTCCATCCTGCAGCATCAAAGGTCCACAGGATTTCCTTAGCTTTTGTGAGCTAGGGAGAATTCACCTTACTACTACCATAAATTGAAAATGAAAGACACTGAGTATTTTATTTTTCTAAGGTCTGTATATGTCACTGGGTACATGCAAGAAATGTATATACCACACTTAGCCTGCATGTGTCTATTCTGGGCTTTGCACCTGAGTTCTCTGTGAGGAAATGGCAAAGGACTCCTCTTTCTGAACTCCCCTGAAGCTGCAGCAGCTGCCTTAGCAGCACGGAGGTTGAGGCTGGTCTCTGGCCTCTCCTTCATCAAGCCTGGGTGGTACAGCTGATAAGGTCCCCTACTGTGGTGACCACAGCAGTGTGAACCTACTGAGATGTTAATGACTACAAATCAGCTTACACTGTGGCTTCAGAGAGATAAAAGGCCACAGTATCTTGAAAATTACTCAAACCCATCTACTTGCTGCCTGATGAATGCTGCCACATTTACCTTGTTTGTAGGATGCCAGAATCAAGTTTTCATCCTCCACTTCAAACACTGTGTCCACATCTATTTTCTTCTGGTTCAAGAGATCTTCCAGTGTCTCAAAGTCATTTGACTTCAGGGCTTCAAGAAATGCCTTTTTCACCAACTTTGCAGCTGCGGCTCGAGTAATTTCCCCCTCCGTGTTCTCTCCCTCTTTGTAGGTCTCCTCCAGATCCATTTCCAAATGTATTTGTGCTGTGAAGAGGGGCACACTGAGGTCCCTATAGCACAGTTGCATGCTGAAGTTCCTGAAGATCAGAAGGTAATTTTATCACTCAGTCATGCTGATCTGCTTGTTCTATTTATATGAGGAGCATTTCAAGCACTGAAATGCCACTCTTAGATATCACCACACTCCTTTTTATGAAAGTAAGGACAGACACACAAGCAATAACGCCAAAATAAGAGTTATCTCCATGGTCTTTATACACATTAAGCTTAATTAATCACATAGTTACCCTCAGATCCTGCCATATACTTGTATTAAAAGACACTAGTCGTGGGTGCTGTTTCTCAGCTGGAGAAGCACTCACGTTTAATTTCAGAGTTACCATTGCTGATCTACTGACTGCAATAGGTTTTGATGCTCTGCCTGCAGATGGCTTTTAACTAGTGAATTTCAGAAAATAAAACAAACAAACAAAGAAACAACAAAACAACCCAAGGCACTCTTCCTGCAGGAGGTAGCTCATTATTCCTCTGGACAGCATTTGGCATGTAGCTTCCAGTTCCATTCCTCCAGCCATCAGGCAGGCCTCCACAAGAGCCCCCCACCACACAGGTTTCACAGTTACCCTGATCTGTAAAGCCCCAGGGATTACTGTGTTGTTCTAGGCCAGTCTTACGTGTTATATCCTGAGCAGCAGGATTTCCCTGTTATGCTCAGGAGCCACAAACAGTGCTCCTAGGAAGGCGAAATGCTGGGATGAGGAGGCTGAAGAGCTGTACAGCCATGTTATGGGGCAGGGGATCTCACACACCACAGGGGACTCACATGTGAATTAACTCAGGTGCTAGCAGAGGAGGCTGCTCCGTAGTCCATAGGCTGTTCTCCTTCTCCTGCCCACCCTTCATCTAAATTAAGACCTTCTCCCTCACAAGCCCATCACTCACCGAACACTTTCCCCTCCCTCCCTTTTCCTTCTGTCTCTCCCAGTCCTGTCCCTGTGTTGGCAGCAGTCTGTGAATATGCAAAGCCACACATGACCATGCATGACATAGAAATGGCTCACACCTGCACCTACATGGGCTGCTGGATGAGACCATAGCTAGAAGGAGACTATCCACCCTTGATTTAAATCACCCAGCCAGGAAGATGCCACCACAACCATTAAGAAAAAATTTTCATGTTTATCCTTCGTGGGAGTTTGGCTGTCAAGTGGGCTGATGGGGAAATGTGAGCCACATGATACTGGAAGTCAGAGCAGCTTCTGTGCTCAGAGGGTTTTCCAGGGGCCAGGTTCCAGGCAGCCCTATAAGGACCTGCAGGAGTCCCATCCATGGGAATGCTCATCAGCTCGCTCCAATAGCAGTGTTCAGTTAAGGTGCTACAAGACAGCAGTTTATGGAGAACTGTGAAATTTGTGAATTCCTTCTACCTCTTTCCTTTTTCATAAGGAAAAACTTCTTTACTGTGAGGGTGGCAGAGAACCGGAACAGACTGTCCAGCAAGGATGTGGAGTCTCCTTCTCTGGAGACTTTCAAAACCCACCTGGATGTGTTTCTGTGCAACCTGCTTTAGGTGAACCTGCTTTGGTATGGGAGTTGAGCTAGGTGATCTCCAGACGTCCCTTCCAGCTCCTAGTATTCTGTGGTTCTGTTATGCTGTTTACTTTCAGATGGAGAATACTTTATAAAATCTACTTCCCAGAGATACCACACTTTGTAATCAACACAGTGGAACAGAAAACGGCTTGCTCTGGTGCTGTAGGTCCCAGGCAGCTCATCTGGGTCTTTCTAGGCTTCCTTAAGAGCATCAGGTTCTCCATACCTTTACAATCCCTCCTGTATGACTGCCTCCCTCTTACTTAGTTACTTTCAGTAGTGGATGACTCCACTACATGCTTTTCAAAAAAGTGTTAATCCTTGTATGGATTGAGCAGAGAGACAAGATGTGAACTCCAGATCTTACAGGCTTCTTGTTACCTGCATTTTTTTTAAAAAACCCCACTATATTCCTGAAAAGTCATGGATGCACAAAGCAATGATATGTAGCTGTAATCAATATCTCACTTCATCTATACCTTTTGATTTGTAATGGACTAGCTTTTCAACTATCATCTTTCATAAACAGTATTAGATGATGCAAGGACATTCAATCTAGCTGAAAGGATCATACCAGTACATCTCCATGAACCTCTGCTGCTTGAAGGCTGAGATAGAGAAGCACGTTTCTGTAACAGATTACTGCACATTTGCTGATCCATCATGCTTGCTCTTGGTTGACAATCAAGGTGAAGTAATTTGTGACAGCTTGGCCCACAGTGAAAGAGAAAGCTGATTAAAATTACCCTACATCCATCACAGCCCAAGAGCATACACAAGCACATCAGACCAGATGCTGCAGCACAACTTGTCCACCTTCGGCAATTTGTGTGGCCCTGCTCTGACTCACAGAATTTTTTCTTAACATTAATGAGCTTTAAAAAGAAAAAGGAAACAATTATAGATACTTATAGCCTTTCTAGTTAGTGTTTTCCTGTGAGCTGCGTAAACCTACTCATATGAGTCCACTGGTGGTTTCAGTACAATTACATACAAGAATGAGGAAAAGGTTTTGTTTTACTTAGACTAACAACCACAAAATATTAGACTGACTTTATTTAAAGCATGACATAGGAATACTTATTAATTTGCTTGAAGCATAGTCAAAATATATTTAAGAATATATAAATACTCTAAGTCATTGGTGAGGCAAAGGGATGAGTTTTTACTATGTATCTCTATTTTTACTATTCATGACTCCCTACAGACGTCTCCCCCGCCGTACCACAAGGTGGCAGCTTGATTTTGAAAGTCAAAACTGATGTCGTCCAAGCCCCGAGGCTGCCAAATATTCTGAACACCTCACTGTGAAACAATAGCTCATCCCTTGCTTAATATAAATAACAGTACTAGTATTTACAGTATTTATGGGTTAGACCTGAGGCCACTGTGATGGGCACTGTGCACTCACACACTATGTTCACTAAGAAAAGCTGCTTTCCACATTTAAGATCACTTATTTAAATTACACTGCTAATGCAAAGATACATTTTTACTGGGGAGATAACTCCTGTCCCCAAGCTCTCCTCTTGCTTTGCACAGTGCCACACAGCACGCTCCTGTTCACAGGACAAGCTGCAGGCACACAAACACCTGGGCTTCGTGGGGATAGGCTGGATCTGCCCCTCCTAAGTGGTTACAGTGTGTCAGAAGAAGCAGGTGTGACAGGGCACAGCAAGCAAGCAAAGAGCATACCACACTTTTGGGGTGCACACTGCTTTCTAGTGCAGGTGATGGCGCTGTCTTCGCTGGCTTCACACGGGCTGCTGAGGCTCATCTCCTTCAGGGTTATCGCAGGCTTGAGCCAAAGCCCACTAAAGTCGAGAGAAGTTATTTCCACTGATTTCAGTGGGCTGTGTCCTTCATTAGGCTGGGCAGCAAGCAGCAAAGCTGAACCAGGGAAAGCTACTGGAGTTGAGTGCATGGACACCATCAGGGTGGTATTATGAGGAGGATGATTGGTGACACAGGAGTGTGTATGAAAATCAGACTCATGTGACTGCTCAAAGAAGACAAAGACAGCCTAGAGAGAGAATGAGGAAAGATGTGCTGGCAGGCCATGTAGTGTGCCTCTTGAGGAGCCGGGGCCCCTCCACTGGCACTTGCTGATGCAGAGAAATAATCTATTGGCAGCTACATAACTCACAGCAGTGCTGGGAGCAGCTCAGGTAGAGCTCTGGAGGTGAAAACCAACATCCTGAACTCTATGCTGGGGCAGGCAAAAAGCCATCGAAAGGAGAAATGCTCCAGAAGAATGGTGGTGATGCAACTGGAGCAATGGAGTTGTTCCTAGCTGCAATGGAGGAAAGCCTGGCAGCTCCCTGCTAGCCAGCCTGTTCTGCAGCAACTCTGTCCCAAGGGCAGCACTGGTGGGGCGGGTGAGGACAACAGTAAGAGATGCACGGGCACCTACCTGCAGCTTTCTCAGGGCTGCTAGAAATGTTCTCCCTGCCCCCAGTTCCAGAGCAGACCTTGAAGCCTTGCCTGCAGCTCCAGGTGTGAGCCCTGCAGCAGGGTCTCGGCACGCTTGGCTGGTGAGGTTTCGGCTCTGCCCATCCATTGGCGGGTGGGCTGCAGCAACAACCAGCAGCAGCACAAGCAGCCTGTCCTGCTCAGGAGCCTCACCTGCTAAGGAGGGGAATCTACTGAACATCAGATCTGTGGGCCTGAAGCAAGAAACAGATCCTTGAGTTAATCCCACGCTTTCAGCTCTTCCAAACAGTGCACACCTGTAAACGTATGTTGCAGTAATGTTCACAATCATCTCTGTTGCAGTAGTGATCACAATCTCTTTGCTTTGCTGTGACCCTTAGAGCATCTGCAGCACCAGGGCAAGTCTGCCACACTGCTGTCCACTCTGTGGGCAGCACTGGCTTTTATGTCCCTTGTATCTGTTTGGCAGCTCTCAGTTACCAAGCTGGATTGAGCACAGACCTCTTACTTATTCATATCACACATCTTTTTCTTTTTGCTAATATTGATTTTTTTTTTTTCGCTGTTGTACATTTTTCTGCCTACTTTAGCCATTGCTGTATTTTATCTGATTTTCTTCTTCTCGGATGCTGACTCTTGAATGTGAAAATTACATAAATCCTCCTCATGCTTCTTAGTACCAGTAGTTTGCAATCCTTTGTTGTATTATTTCATTTCTGTGCCCATTTGCTAGGAATGGGGGAGAAAAATAGGCCCAGATCCTCAAAGGCATTTAGACATAAAACTCTCAATGCCCTGAAAGTCAAATTCCTAGGAGCTAGGAACCTATTTATCCGTGAGAGTCTGGGCCTTCTGTTTTTGTTTTCAGTAAAGCAAGTATAATTTAGAAATACAGATCAAGTGAGGTGCTTAAGCCTTAAGTGAGTGTTATGAAACCAAAGTTTGGTGCCAACAATACTGAATGTTCTTATCACAGAACCT